CCTTCCCAGTTTCCCACTGGGAACCGGGGGTAAGGACGGGGCTAAAGGAGATTACTGGGAGCCTCCCCCGGCTGAGGGAGTTCGTTTTCCCCAGGGTTAATCCCACTAGCCCCCTCAGGTGGGGGCATCGGAACCTCGAGCGGAGGAGAGGGTAGAACCGCCTCAGCAGACTCGAACTCAGTACTTCCCGAAGGAGGGGTCCGGTCGGGGTGCGTCCTATTCGCATGGTGTCTCTGGCTACCCGAGAGAAGGCGGCGTGAATCGGCACTGGACATGATGGCTGCCAAAAGACCACAAAATATTAGTCCGACAAGAAACAAAATACAAGTGTACACAATATTGTCACAAGGCACTACACGACCTAAAAGGCCGACCTAACCGGGCTCAAGCCTGCCTGCACGAGCTTCTCCTCGGTCAAGTAGTCCGAGCAAAGGAAGCCTACCGACGCCCAAGACAGCATTGTTTTCCGAGTTTCAGGGTCCAGCTCGGCCCCGGGGTCCTGGATGGCGCTCCTCCGAGCAGTGGGGAAGGGCCACCCCTCGGGGTTAAGGACCACAAAGTAATCCCGCTTCCAGGCGGGGATCTTATTCGGCAGCTCGTACAAGAGCTTATAGCCGCGACGGGGAGAGAGGTAATAAAAGCGCCTCTTTGGAGGAACCCCAAGAGCAGCGCTCTTTATACAAAAGGATGGAGACAAAAATATCAAGGTCCAAAGGAAGACAGTACTCGTAACACAGAGATATAGTCCCAACCATGTTTCGAATGGCGTTGGGATGAACCTGGTCAATGGTGACGTTAAAGTGGTTTAACACCTCCACTATCAAGGGGTGCAGGGGGAGACGCAAGCTAGCCTCGAGCTGTTCCTGAAAGATTACTATGTCATTGGGACCATGCTCCCAAGGGAAGTTGCCAGTAGGAAGGTTGTAAACCAGGTCCCTAGGGAGGCGAAAGTAGCGGATCAGAGACTTGAGTCTCTCCGCTGTCATCAAGGAAGGGCCAAAGGTATTAGGTTCCCTCCCCCTAGAAGTGGATGCCATGTCGCCAAAGGCCTCCCGAGCCTCCAGGATCTGCTCCCAGGCTCCCCCCGAGCTCGAGGGAGCATCATCATCCTGGCTATCGCCCCTGTGATAGGTGTGGTATGGGTACCCAAACATGGCTGACAGCGATTAGGACTCACTAGAGTAGACGGAACGAAGCAAACTGAGGAATTCGGGTAGACTAGGTGAAGTGCGCGACCTCATAATCCAAAGACAACAAGATAGCGTGGGAGAAAATGAGGCCCGAGGGGGGCCCCTATTTATAGTCTCCACCCTTTCAAATTGAGGGTCCGGAACAAAGCAGATCCAACGGTCCGCGGGCCCCCTGACCGCACGCCTTTTGAAAACCGAAGGTGATTGGCGGCACGACGCTCGGAGTTAAAAGCCACCTCAGCACGTTTTCGGAATCCGAAAAGTCAGGAGAGTTAGAAAATCTCTTGATTCCCGCAAATGCATTTAATGAGGCCAGCCAATCAAGTTTGAATTTCGGTCAAATCAGTCCATCGCACTTCATAAACTCCCTGCGCTAAGGCGGTACTCTTAGCTCGAGGAGTGGGGGGCAATTGATGAAGGATGATTTGACCCAACCTATGAAACGGTGACACGTAGATGCCGACTTAGCATGAGCGACAACCTAGCGTTGAAGCCCGGAGCAACCAAGTGACGGGCCCACGAAGCAGTCCGCTATGCTACAGCTCACGAGGGGAGGAGTTCGCCGCGAGGCAAACTCCGGGTTCCCCGTGCTATCTTTGAAGAGATACTCCGAGGAAATTGTAGTTCACGAGCTAAAGTTATCAGCTCGCCCGAGCTCCCTAGCAGACAAGTCATTCCAAGGACCAATTTCACTAAGGGTAATTCTGGAGTGTTCCAAGCTCGCTACGAGATAGCTCGCGAACAAGCCGCCCTAGCGCCCTCCAGAAAGCTTCCGACTGACAAACCGTACCGGCCAGACTGTGCCATATCCTCTACTGATGGCGCAGTCTCAGTCCTTTCGACAGTTTGTGTCCACGTTTCTCGACAGGCAAAGGCATGCCTGCCACTTTGGAAACGTGTCACTCACCCGAGCGAGGCGTACACCACAACGGCCACCTGCGCAGCCCTGGCCAGTAATGGCTGTGGCAGGAGCCCAGTGATAGTTATGCCCAACCTGATGTGAGTGTCCCTATAAAAGCCCTCAGGGTCGAAAGGAAACTTCTTCTTGAATCCCTGACCTCTTGAACATAGTGGTAACGCGCTATCCTCACTCTTAGCCTTCTCTTCCTTCCGCTTATTGCACACAATACTAACTTAACCATCGGAGCGTTCCCGCCGGGAAACCCCTCGGGAGTTCTTCCTCTTTCCTCTCGTCTTGGGTACCTCTTAGGAGCCACGCGAGCGCCAAGTAGGAGCGACCGGATTGCGCAGCATCAATAATCGCACTGTAATTTTTAAAAGTAAATTAAAAATTTAAGTTTAAATCTTTTGAACAGACTGACCAAAAAAAAAAAAATAAACCCAAACCAATACACCTTGAATGGGTCGGTTTTCACAAAAGGTTAGTCGGTTTCAATTGACCAACTCCCTAACCTGACCAGGTCAACTTGGTTGGCCAAATAGCCTACGGCCACACCAAACCAACTCATAAATACTCATAATTTCAGCTAAATTAATAGTCTTATCTCTAATAAATAACAATAGTTTAATCTCCCATATTATTGAAAATTTATAGCAAAAGTACACAACTATTAAAAATATATTGATAATGAAAACTATAATAATTACAAAAATTACAAAAATACAATAAGTACTAAAAATATATTAACTTAGTCAATAAATAGTATAATTTCAAATGATAGTTTAATCTCTACTAAATATTAATCAATAATTTATAACAGGAACACAATAAATACAATAAGTATAACAAAATAAATTTAAAAATTTCAATAATAGCAATTTAATCGCCAATAAATATTGACAATTTTCTATTAAATAACTTAACAAAATATATTTATACATACTTATTGAAAATACATTTATCACAAAAGACAATAAATATTAATTTTAGCGTATATAATTTTATAATAAATATAGATTAAGAGTTTAAAATTATTATTAATAAATATTATTTTTTTGAAAGTTATTTTCTCGAATTATTACTTGATATAAGTGAAATTAATTATTTACAATATTATGTTAAAATATTAAATTATTATTAATTTCAATATTATGTTATAATTATTTTTCTACTTTTTAGATTTTTTAAATTTATTACATAATTTATTTATTTTAACTATTTAAAATCTATTTATGTTAAACATTTTGTTATTTAAAATATTTAGTTGTTTAATTACTCAAATAATATGTAAAATATTTAAATTTTAAAATATTAATTAATTATTGAATTTAATTTTCCATAAAATCATAATTTATACTATGATTACGTAATTTCATTATTAAATTTGTTATATATTAAATTATTATAAAATTAAATATTATGTTATAATTATTTTTCTATTTTGAAGAAATTTTTTAAATTTATTACATAATTTTGTTATTTTAATTATTTAAAATCTAGTTATGATAAATATTTAAATAATCTATAAAATATTTTAAATTTTTTGTTATTTGAATTTTATTTATTTAAAGCTATTACCTATTAATAAATATTTAAAAAACATTTAAATTGATATTCCAAGAAAACATAATTTAAATTGTAGTACATAATTTCGTGATATATTTTGTAAAATTATAAAATTATTTTTGTGTTTTTAATAAATATTTTAAAGTTATTTTTTAATTTTGTTAGAATATTTAAATAATTCTTAAATCTTTTAGTCCAAACTTTCTTTAGATAGATATAGATAAAAAGTATGGGAGAGGATAAATAGGAATTTGAGGTAATTTAGGAGAGAAACTCTTTACTAAATTAGAGATAATTTTGGAGATAAATAGGAATTAGGGATAATTTAGAAGATAAATAGGAATTAGAGATAATTTTGGAGAAAGTGGGGGATAGTGGGTGAGGTAGCTTAGTAGTAATTTTTGGAAAAGAGATTATTTAGGTTATTGGGAAAGTGCATTTCATTGGTTGTTTAAAAAATGACATGGAATTAAAAAAATAAAAAAAAGAGAAAATAGATAAATAACTATTTTCAAAGGAGAGATATGCTGACATGGTAGGGAATTTACCAACTAAATCGACCTGGTCAGGTTGGGAGTTTTGTCCCTGAACCCGATTAACCATTAGTGAGACCCACCAACTCGGGTTGTTTCGGTTTGGGTCTATTTTCAATTTAATTTGATTGTTTAAAAGATTTAAACTTACAATGGTATTATTAAAAATAAATTTATGATATAAACTATTTTAAACTAAGAAATATGGGGAATTTTCTATTTTCCCATATATTTTATATATATATATACCTAACTTGATCGAGTTAAAAAATTAGTAAACCAAAAACTAATCATAAATAATAGAAAAGTGACAAACTCAGGTTGATTGTATCAAATTACTTATTAAAAAATTAAAATATAAAACAATTAATACTCTCTTGTATCTGTAACTTTCGCTTAACAAAACCGTACATCACACTGGTTCCGGTTAATTCCATAGTAAGGGCTTGATCCCAAAATTGGCCTGTTCATATAGTACACATAAAAGTTCCAATAGTCCATCATTGTACTTGTAATATGAGCCTATCAGGACACGCCACGTCAATGAACGCAGGCCACACGTCAGTTGGTTGATTTGATACAATGTTTGTAGAACCACCGAGGGAGTATATGATTGACGAGCAAAAATCTGCTGGTCGCATTCTACTCCAATCAAATGCCAAAACGCCCGCCCCAGTCACAGCAGAATATTTTCCCACATCTGATTAGTGCTTTAGCTTTTTCGGGCGCTGAAACGCCAAATCATAACTCATAATTATTTCATTTGGCTGCTTGCTTGTTGGTTTGGCCAGTCTGCCCGGGTCAGTTCAGTTGCCCGGGAGCGCATTTTAGCTAGAATTATAGAAGTATCTTACAGAGAATTTATTTATAGTTCACTCTCCCAAAAGAGTGAAAGACAGCGTAGTAGGCGATTTCAGTCATGGAAGGAAATCAGGAGGTAGAAGTAATTCACTCGTGGTCTGCTCCTAGATCTCTCAGTACCAGCCTTATGTACTCATTTGCTCAGGTAACCCACTTCCATTTTCCTCCCTCCTTTGTTTTTGTTTTAATCATTTGATCACTCCCTATCCCCCATTTTCTTCTAACAAAGAATGCTGGTGCGTTCTCTCTGAGAGTTGAAAGAAATGGAGTTATCTATGAAATACAAGCTTTCTGTTGATGGATTTAAAATGGGCAACTTTTCGAATTAGTTGGAGTGGAATAATTCCTGTTGTCCTTTTTTTTTTTTCTTTTATTTGCTTCGGGCATGCGGGTTATGGTTTTAAATCTTTATATTTTGATGTTGACATAAGAACCGTATCTTTTCTGTTGAATTTTAAATGGAATGTTTGTACTGTTTTTTCCCTTTATTATCGGTTTATTGTAGTTTTGTTGACGACAACTGTTGTGGTGACTTCAAACTTTTTCTCTCTGTCTGGTGCATGCCAAAGTTTAAATTTTCTTGGTACCTGTTTAGTAGAGTTCTTGTTATTAGTTCACGTGCTAAGAAATGGTGGGTCAAGTTGGGTAATTGCTTGAAGTAATGCATCCTTCTCAACATTGAAGTTGGCCAGTAAGTTTTGGTAGTTGCTCGTAATGCTAAAAATATGACATGGGTATCACTAAGGAGGTGGTATCGACTTACTTTCCTTTTCTCTTCAAACTATTAGTTATAATGTCGAACAATAAATAGTCGAATAAGGCTCTATTGTATTATTGCTATTTAGTTGGATGATAAGTTTTCAGATGTATTGTATATTTTTCTTATGAATTTGAATTAGATAAGATACGCTCTAACATCTAAGTGGCTTACTTTAAGTGTTTGTGGTCATAGTTGTTGCTTCTCCTTTTTGGTTGGGAAGTTCTGTTCTAATTAATCATTTGTATATTCTATGAGTAGGCTAATTGTTACTTTATTACCCATATCTCCCAATCTATCTATTGTTCCTCTTCGCGAAATTGGCAGATTGCAGGTGGATGGTAGAACTGTCTATTCTTTACAATTTTAATATTTGTTATTTCTGAATGAAATTTTAGCGGATAGCTTGTTTAATTCTCTTTGTACTCCTTGGACATGCAAGTCCAGTTTCATGAACTAAAAGGTAGTCTCCTATACCTCCTGTTTCCTCATGTTTTGACATTGTTTTTTGTTTTATTTCATGATTTTTCTGTAGAGAGATGACATAGAAGTTCTTGATGAACCCCTCTATGCGAACTTTCTTCGAGTGACGGGTGCGGAAAGGCCTTACCGTGAGGAGCTTCTATCCAAAATGGTACATCACAAACATTGCTTGCCAAACCCCCACTGAGGATACACTTGAAGTTACACTCGAGTGACGGGTGCTTGATTTTTTAAAATAATTTTCTGAAACTTTAATGACGGCTATAAACCACAGGTCTCTTAAGTATGAAATTCAAACTAGTTCCTTAATATAAATTGTTTGTTTTCCAAGACTACTCTCCTGTCATGAAGATTAATAACTGCTTTGGCCATGCTTAGTTTTGGCAGGTATGCTTTACCACATTAAACCAAGCAATGCATTAGTTTGTTTACAGAAATGCAATAGGATTCAAAAGGGCTCTCACTAGAAACAGTAAAGCATACAAGTTCCTAAGTTACTAGAGGGATACCAAATTGACTGCATTTGATAGTTTATCCTGTATTGAATTTCATCACCAAGGAAGGTATCCTACCAACTTCAACGTTGAGGAAGTTGAAACTTTCATACACTGGAAAGGGAAAGTGCCACTGTGCTCTCTTTATAAACTGAAAATTGTGAGGGTGTCCTTAAGGCATCTTATGTAGTTTCTTAACAAATTCCCTTTCACAGTTCTTTCCTCAGCAACCAAAGATAACAGTAGTGTTTTTTTTTGGCTCCTATTCAATGATATTAACTGTATTAAATTTTCATTTAGCTTTATTGTTATGGAATATTTACCTGATTAGTTTGTTTTCCTGTCCCTTTTTTGTTTTCTTTCTTTCCTTTGTGCTTTATGATCTATTCATCATCATCATTCAAGCCTTATCCCAACTATATGGGGTCAGCTTGCTTTATGATCTATTGTGTAACATTTTTCTTTTCTCTATGCTTTATATTGACACCATAAATTCTTGAAATGGAATAGGATTCTGATGGCAGTAGAGTTGTAAAAGAGGTGATTTTTGGTCCGGGAGCAAAGAAATATCGCTACTGCAAGGTAATCCATTTGCAAAAATGCAAAGTTTTCTAGATTTACAGGTTGACTTTACAAATTATTTTTCCATGTAAAAATCATGTATTTGGAATCGTTTTGTCAAGCTGCATGATGAATTGTAAAGGCATTCATCTGGTGAAGAAAATAGATAACATTTGGTACATATTACATAATACTTAACAGTAAAAGGCTCATTTCTTCATTTATTATTTCATTATTGCTACTGTTTTGAAATTTGAAATGGAAAGGAAGCTAAAGGAAATTTACATTTTAATACACTATACCTTACCTTTCTCAAAAAAAAAAAAGCTGCAAGAACAATTTTTTGAGAAATAATCTTATCATGAGGACAGGCAGTTTCAGATAACAGACATCTACTCTATAGAACCCGAGATATCTCCTTTTCTGAACTCTTGATTGTAGAATGCTTTACCAACTATAAAGCTACTATTTATGTGAGACAGGAGGAGATTCTCAATAGGTGGTTAAGTGGTTGCAAAACAAAGGGAATGATCTATGGATGAACAAAAGTGAGTTAAAAAAGATTAAACGGATACCAGGATTGGGAAATTAATCAAGTGAGGGAGCTCTTTGGGCTGATATCCAATCAGATCACCTGCTGGAAGAAGATAGCTGGGGCTGGATCTGGAGTGCAGACGGATCATTTTCAGTGAGGTCCTTTGCCAGATTTTTGGAAGGAGGTAACAGACCTGATTTTCCAGCTTCTACCATTTGGAATGCGACAGCCCCTACCAAAGTAAATTCTCTTGTCTGGGCTGCTTCCCTGGATAGATGTCTCACTAAGAAAAGCCTGTTGAGGAGAGGAATGCAGATTCAAGACTGTCAAAGAACCATTCAACCTAAAAGCTTAAAATGTTAAGTGAGGTCCTTGAATAGGTTTTGTTCTCTAACATGTCCCCTCACATGAAAGCCCATTGGGCTTGAAGCGTGGACAGCACAGGCCCACCCATACCTTGTGCTGAAAATTAATTAATTATAATGGTGGTGACAAGAATCGAACACTAGACCACTTGGTCAAAGTGGCTCTGATACCATGCCAAAGAACCATTCAACCTAAAAGCTTAAGCTGTTAAGTGAGGTCCTTGGATAGGCTTTATTCTCTAACAAAGACTTAAGTTGTGTGTTATGTGGTCAGAAGGAAGAGGATAACAGTCATTTGTTCCTCCACTGTTCTGTTTTGATGTCTTTATAGAATCACTATCTTTCTTCTGTGGGTTTATCCTAGGCCATGCCAAATTCCGTGTTGGATCTGCTATGGTGCTGGGATTGTTTAAGGCTTTCAAAGTTGGCCAAAAGTGTATGGAGATCAGTTCCTGCAGCAGTGATCAGTACCATCTGGGCGGAGAGAAATAATAGAGTGTTCCAGAACAAGGCTAAAGCAGTAGACTGCCTCATTTCTAATTCATTTGGCAAAGTGGTATCTTGGACTGCATCTGTAAAAGGTTTCCAAATCAGGGAGTTTGGAGCCCATCTGAACTCTAGAAGTCTTCTTGAGTTGTAATGTAATCTGGGTTTCGGGCCTAGTTTCTCTTAAAAGGGGGTCTATTTGTATCCTATTTTCATTTCTTAATAAAATTACCTTACCTTTTTCAAAAAAAAAAAGGATATCTAGAGGAATGAGTGTCAGATTTCAATGGGTCCAAAGGATGGCTCACAGCATGGCTGATGCTTTGTCAACTGTAATTTTCTTTGGTTTTGGAAATAAGCTATTTGTCTCTTATTGTACTTGGTACTTTCTCTTTGATCAATGGAATTTGCAATTATATATATATATATATCTATATATATAAGGAGTAATAAAACATGAGATATTAATAAACATAATCTCCTTTTTTGGGTGATCTAAAAAATGCTGACTAGCTTCCTTAAGTTTCTCGGTAGAAATTAACAAATCTCATGTCTGGAAGCAATTGTGAGAATGAAAAAAAACTTTGGTGCACCATGATCCTTATCCTGCCGTTGCTAGTAAATCTGCCATTTTTTGATAACTAGATTATGAGGGGCTGAATTATTTGTGCAAGGACAAAGGCTTATATGATTAAAACAAAATGTGTGCAAATATCCGAACCCCTCTTTCATTCTAGAGACCAAAAGGTCCAAAACAATGATTTTCTGATGTTCTACAACTCTATAAGAGGACCTAAAAAAGGAGAAGTTCATTGGCTCCATGGAACTGCTTGTATATATCATTAGGAGCACCTCTGCCAATTGACTGTAAAATACTTTTTTTTATAGGTAACCCTGAAACATTTCATTAATATAAAGAATAATATACAGAGAGAATTACAAGGGGTAAGGATACCACCAAAGGAACAGATATTACACTTGAGCCCAGTACAGATTTTCCCTAAACAGCCCCTCTCTAGCTAAAGAATCAGCTAGACCATTGGACTCCCTTGGAACCTATTGATAAATTACAGTCAATCCCCTTGGAAGCCATTTTATTTTCTTAACCCCATCCTGGTATGTCCAAGCTGCCTTCTTCTCATCCTGTAACCAGCTAACCACCACCAGTGTTCCCTTCAGCAACCAGCTTTTCCAGGTTTAATTATTTGCTATTTGGGCCCCACATAGGACAGCAAGTAGTTCAGCTCTAATGGAATCTTCAATACCAATAGGGCCCGGGAATAAAGCTAATACATTCCCTTCTTTATTCCTGAAAGGCCCTCCAATACCTGAAGGGCCAGGATCACCAAGGCTGCTCCCATCAAAATTAAGCTTGACAAAGTTATCCAAGGGAGGATCCCAAGGTTTGAGGATTTTGCCTTCCCTATTCAATCCAGCACCTTTTTCATCCTTAAAGGATCCTCCTACAACATGGTATCCAGATCCTCAATTGTGCATCCATCACCTTAATCTGAACTATGTTCCCTTTATTTGTATGATATCTTAAGAATCTCATTCATATGGTCTTTGTTACTGGCTCTTGTAAGTCAGTATGCTGAATCTTGGCCCCACTTGTTGCATAGTAATAATAAAAGGATTAGAGGAACAAATAAATCTCCGTAACATTAGTGTTTCTTGCGCAATGCTAACATAATATCTAGAAAACATGCTATCACTTAATCAGTTGGCAAGAAATTATATGGTTTTGTGTTATGACAAACCCATAACCAATCATGTTCAAAATGGCACAAAGTGAAGCAAAACATAGATACTGAGAAGAGGAGAAAAATACAAAGCAGATTTATGTGGTTCGGCCTTTAGCCTACATCCATTAATCAGTAAATGGAGTACAGAGTTGAGCTACTTCACACAGACCCTAATCCCCATTACACCCAAAGGTCTTTCTGTATGTGCTACAGATACAAAGATTAGATAAGCTCTCTCTCTCTCTCTCTCTCTGTATGTGAAATTTCCCATTTGGGTTCTTCCCCACAAACTTCGGGCTGGATCATGGAGCAGGCCGCAGACAGGAATTCAAGACACAACTCAACATTTTGATGATCAAATCAAAGCCACCAATTCCGAGACAAACTTGGGCCTGCATATGAATGGCTCTTCTTGTTATGTAGGTTCCTACATGTACATGTCAATTTAGGGACATTGGATGTTTTATGTCTTTTTTTCCTCTTAAAAATGTCTTTGTAGCCTGAATTGCTAAGTTATTTTTATTTTCTTCTTTAAATTATTCTGTCTACAGCATATGGCAAAACAACGAGTACCTGGCTTGACAGATGAGTTGATGAAAAAAGGGAAGCACTTCATACTGATAAGGAATCCCCTTGATATTTTGGTAATCATTTTAAAGAATTTGCTTTCCTGTCTTTTCACCATCCATAATAACATTTAGGTGGCATTCTGTATCCTCTTTAATAATACTCATTCAAACTGGTGCATATTGTTCGTAATGGTTGTTAACCTCTTGCTGACATTACTATTGAGCCTAATATTAATTCTTCATTAGAGTAAAACTTAGGAGAGTTTACAGAGGTAGTTGGAAGCATTCTCATTAATTTTAGTTTGGAATATCTTTTTTCTTTATATTCCTCTTATTACTGACTGTTTACTAAATGCTTTTTATTTTGTTTTGTCAGCCATCTTTTGACAAAGTTGTGCCACCATCCTTTCTTGAGCTGGGGTTGGCAGATCTGGTTTCCATATACAGTGAGCTCTGTGAATTTGGGAGGCCTCCACCTATAATAGATGCATCAGAACTTCAACAGGATCCTGAGGTTAAAGAGCTATTTCACAGCATATAAATTGATAGATAACTTTTTTTTTTTTATGTCCTGCTTTAAGTGACATGGAAATTGCCTCCTTATGTCATGGTTACATTTTAAGATTTCTTCATTGGCAGATTATATAGCAGATGTACTAGTTGCATTGCTTAGAGAAGTATAAATGACCCAGAGTTTACCATGTTGCAGCATTGTTGGGATGCAAAAGGGTTTTTGTGTTTCTCACTTTCTCTCACAAACCTTTGTTTAAATCTCAGACAAAGCTTTTGAGATGTCTCCAATCTACATCCTTTCTGAGCATTTGCTGAATAATTAAAGCTTTAGATGGCTAATATCACTTAGGAAAAGCTCCAGTACATGGTGGGTATGGAGCTGATGTGGATTGAAGGACTTAGCATGTGGCCAATCCAAATGGTGCTCTTTGTAATGCATGGTTTGGAACTTTGGATTTGGTCAGATCTTCTCTCAATGAGGAAGAAAAAAAGAGTAGGTTAACTATAGAAGAAACTCAATTCATTTGACTTGTGGGGGATGGGGTGTTTTTTTTTTTTTGATCAATAACAGTGGATTTTATTAAAGATTGAGAAAGTACATAAATAAGGAGCTAAAAAAACTTAACTCCCTAATACATCAATGTACACCCAAACCGTAAACAATTACAAAACAGCCCAAAAAATAGATGTAGATGTTCAAGACTGCTTTCAGTCTTGAACCCTAATAAATTTCAGGTTTGAAAAAGGAGAAAAAGTATAGAGGAAAAAGGAGAACTTTGATCTAAGAAGGTAAGATGTCAATGGTTTAGCAAAGTATTCCTTTGTGTTATCGGATCTAAGAACTTTGATCTTGGCATCAAATTGGGTTATGATCATTTGGTGAAAGTTTTGGGTCAGGGCAGGGACCTCATCTCGTGAACGCATGAGATAAACCCAAGAAAAATGGGTATGATCATCAACAAATAATAAGAAGTATCTGTACCCACCCATGGAAGGGATGTGATAGGGCCCCCAAACATCAGTATGCACAATATCAAAAAAAATTATTACTCCTTTTATTGCTCAATAAATAAGACTTTCTACAATGCTTAGCAAACTCACAACTTTTACAATGCAACTGAGACAACTCAACAGACTCAAATAAAGCAGGAAGCAGACTCTTTAGAGACCGAAAGGACAAATGACCTAATCGGTTATGCCAAAGCATAGCCGGGCTCACACTGTGAGAAACAAAAGACATCTTCCCTACTGACTCTTCCTGACGGGACCTCTCCCCGAGCAGATAGATCCCATTCGTCTCACGGCCAGTCCCAATCACCTTTTTCGTCTCCAAGTCCTGAAAAACACATCGGTCAAGGAAGAAGGTTATTGAGCAGTTCATATGCTTGGTAATACTACTGACTGAAAGAAGATTAGTATCAAGCTTAGGAACATGCAAAACAAATGACAGGGAGATGATATCTGATAACTTGATGTCACCCTTCCCAGAAATAGGAACAAGGGAGCTATCAACAATAGATACTTTATCCCTACCAGAAGACAAATGTTAAGTGGTAAACAGTGAAGGCAAGCTAGTCATGTGGTCGGATGCACCTGAATCTATTACCCAACAAGGTTCAATAGTACCTGGAGCTGAGGCATGGTAGGCTGAAGCTCGAGTACCTGAATGTGTGAAGGCAAATGTGGCAGGAGCTGATGGTGACTGCGGTG